GTAATTTACCTGGTGCACTGGTCACTTTGAACAGAGCGGCCAGAGCGAGCACAGCGAACATTTGTACACCTATATCTTTACCTAGCCAGCATAGGAATTAAAAGAGGTAGCGGGCACTAGAGCCAAAAGCAAATAATGTAAGTACTCGCGTATAAATATAAGTTTAATTCATTATAGTATCTATTCAATAATATATTTAATTAACGTAATATTTTTGTTAAAAGTAAAGTTAATATTTTGAAAGTCTTTGTAAATTTAGAAATCGGGCGTGGTCAATTTAGTAGACAAGTGATTTCGAAGAAGCAAGTTTTTAATATATATTGTTTCCTTTTATAGCTTACATTGAACGAGTAAGACTGAGGACTCGGCGGACTTTGTCCGAGAAAACCCTCTTCACATTGAAGAGGTGGGTATTTTAATATATTTGTAATTATGCTGTATTTCTATATAATATATAGATTGAATGTAACAGTTGTAATACGTATTCCACTATTGTAACTTATGTAACTGGCTACGGCCAGGTAGTTGTTTGATATGTCTTAGCTCATGTGATTGTATAAATGTTATATGTGTAGTAATATGATGTATTTCATGTTACAGGGTTTTTACTTACGTAATAAATTAACTGAGAAAAGAACCCAGGAGTTGTCGTATATCCACGATAAAAGACGACTATTACAGATATGTGCAGAAAATTTCGTAAACTCACTGCATCCACCTCAGATATGTTTCTGACATTATGATAGAGAATCCCTTTGAACAATTGAAATGACAAATCTAAAATAATTGTTTAAACAAGAGGCCCATGGGCCTAAACGGTCACCTGAGTCTACAGTATTTATTTTTGTTGTTGAAATATGTACCAATTTGAGTAAAAAATAGTATAATGTTAACTTAACTTTGTCAGGACCATGAGCTGATCATTCCTAGACCAATTTTAAGTGAGATCGGCCTATTAGAACTTAGTAGCAAAATAGCGGCCATGGCAGCCAAATTGTATTTCTGATTGACCCGAAAAATAACAACACTTTGTCAGGACCATGAGGCGATCATTCCTACCAACTTTCAGTTCAATCGGTCCAGCAGAACTTGACTTTAAGTTTGAAATAGGTTTTCAAAATGGCGGCCGTGGCGGCCATATTGGATTTCTGATCGACCCGAAAAATAACAACACTTTGTCAGGACCATGAGGCGATCATTCCTACCAACTTTCAGTTCAATCGGTCCAGCAGAACTTGACTTTAAGTTTGAAATAGGTTTTCAAAATGGCGGCCGTGGCGGCCATATTGGATTTCTGATCGACCCGAAAAATAACAACACTTTGTCAGGACCATGAGGCGATCATTCCTACCAACTTTCAGTTCAATCGGCCCAGCAGAACTTGACTTTAAGTTTGAAATGTAAAATGTTAACGGACGACGGACGACGGACGACGGACGACGACGGAAGAAAACGGATAGCAATAGGTCACTTGAGCAAAAGCTCAGGTGACCTAAAAATTAAATATATATGTATTGTGACAAAGTGACAGAGACTGGAAACGTTCGTTGGACCATGGTATTATTGCAGCTAATCATAACTCCTATTTTCAGTCAATGAGAATTTCACCTTTCTCATGAAGGATTTATTCTAGACATCATTGACTTGATATTGCGAAAATGCAGAACATTCTGATCCATTGTTCCAGGCCCCTAGCCTCATAGTCCACTATGTAACCGTCTATCAACTTTCCCTCTGTACCCAAAGCATTTTACCTCCCGACAGATAGGCATGTTCCCATCCATCAACTTTCCCTCTGTATCCAAAGCCTCTTACCTCCAGACAGATAGGCATGTACCCGTCCATCAACTTTCCCTCTGTACCCAAAGCCTCTTACCTCCAGACAGATAGGCATGTGGCAAGCTAGCTCTGAGGAACATAGCTTCTCCTGGTTTCAGGTTGACAATATTAAGGAAGTAGATGGCGAAGCACCCCACATCTCCTGGGAATTCTTTGTTTAACTTCAATAGAACATCTGCCTCATACCCGCTGGTGTCTTTGCCCTCTTTTTCTGCGAACAGGAACAAGTACATATATAATTACCAAGTGGATATTTGTTTTCTGAAATATCAAAGCTCTGTTTTAATTATGATGGTGAATTTTATATTACATTGCTGAGAGTCTTGTTTGTGTTTATTTTTTGTGTTATTTTTCGACATAAAATTTTCTGGTAACATACATTTACACTTAAATTTGTTGCAGAACGTCACAGTTGGCTACATGATCCAGATTACAAAACGAGTATAGTTTGGTAAACTTTCAGATTTTCAATAGGATGAAAATATTAGAGTCGAATAAAAATATTGAAATTTAAAATCTGGAATTCACATTTTTTATAGTTTTTTAAAATCATGTTTTTATGGTAAGAATATTTTTGTGTCAGTGTGTGCAACTGTCAGTTTTTATACAAATTTAAAAGAATATTGAATTCTTCTTCAGAATTAGCGAATTTGTGATAAACAAAATGATTTGCAATTGAAATGCCTTAATTTTGTGACTTAAAACTGTAGTGACATACCCAGCTGTGCCACGTGGCTGATCAGACTGCTCAGCTGGGTATGGATGGTTTCCTTTTTCTGATTCATCAGCCCTGTGAAGCAGTCCTTCATGGCTTCTCTATGCATTTTCGGGTCCATACATTTACTTGCTGTGAGCAGCTTCACCACATATTGACCACCCACAGCTGTACGGAACTCTTCAATATCTGAAAACAAATATCATTCCTGGTGACGGTACAGCATTCGTCAATTCTTGAAAACAAATATCTGTTTATCAAGTACAAATTCCTTCAATACTTGAAAACAAATATCTGTTTATCAAGTACAAATTCCTTCAATACTTGAAAACAAATATATGTTTATCAAGAACAGAATCCTTCAATGCTTGAAAACAAATATCTGTTTATCAAGTACAAATTCCTTCAATACTTGAAAACAAATATCTGTTTATCAAGTACAAATTCCTTCAATACTTGAAAACAAATATATGTTTATCAAGAACAGAATCCTTCAATGCTTGAAAACAAATATCTGTTTATCAAGTACAAATTCCTTCAATACTTGAAAACAAATATCTGTTTATCAAGTACAGAATCCTTCAATGTTTGAAAACAAATATCTGTTCATCAAGTACAGAATCCTTCAATGTTTGAAAACAAATATCCGTTTATCAAGTACAGAATCCTTCAATGTTTGAAAACAAATATCTGTTCATCAAGTACAAATTCCTTCATAACTTGAAAACAAATATCCGTTTATCAAGTACAGAATCCTTCAATGCTTGAAAACAAATATCTGTTTATCAAGTACAAATTCCTTCATAACTTGAAAACAAATATCTGTTTATCAAGTACAAATTCCTTCAATACTTGAAAACAAATATCTGTTTATCAAGTACAGAATTCTAAAATGCTTGAAAACAAATATCGCAACTGTACGGAATTCTTCATTGTCTAAGAGCAGTTTGATATCATACATGTAAACCTGTAAAGAGAATCTGAATGTGTCTTAAAAGTTTCGAAATAGAGATACGTTTTTCAAAAACTGCATACATTGTTGGTACCTAAAAAAAATATATCAACAAAACAAAAGGAAGGAGACAATAACATATTTTTATGAACTTAGTTCAAAACCTGCAAATCAGATTAACATCATATTGATTGTTCAAATTTCTGATATATATGACAATGTTTGCTAACATTTGTTGCTTTGCAGTCATTAATGGCCAGCTCACATTTAAGAAATCCAGCAACTTCTGTAATTGGTCTGAACCCACAAAGTCCCTTGAAGGGTGTCAGAGCTATGGCCATTTCTGGTTTGTGGTTTGGGTCTTTATAAATGTCAGGCTTTTCATGATGTATCTTTTCAGCCAGGACCTGACAACAGAAATCAGTGATACACATGTACAATAATATAGATCTCCAATTAAACTACCATTTCATAGCTATAGCTCATTTATCATGAAACAAAACAGAAAAAAAAGAAAACAGTCATTAACTAAGTTCCTAATATTAAATGGAACTTGTTTGTCAACAATCATTTATTGTTTTTTCAAGGAATTTGATGTATTTCATAAAAAGAATGGTCTTGCTTTGATGAATTTGACTGTATGGAGTTTATAGACCGTGAACGCTGTTTTTTCAACATGTAAACTTAAGTTTCAAGACGTATATACAAAACACATTATAATTAAGAAAAACAAATCCTACCTTGTCTGGATGTGCTTGAATGGACAATGCTGTTTTGACAGAGAGAACTTTAAATAGGAATGCCAAGTTCTTATCTTTCTCCATATCTTTGCCTATACTATCTGCATTTTTTTTAACCCAAGCTCCTAAGTCGATATCTGCATCTCCTGAGCCTGAAATTATCCTGGATGGACCATTGGGATGTGTGCCCATCCATAGCTAAAAAATACAGAAATTGTATGAGAATATATTTGGTGTGCTGAAACTGTCATTGTTTTATGAAGACCAAAGTTTTGGAGTGTTTTTTATTTCATTTTAATGCTGCTTTCTACTGTTGAATTTATGATGTTTCTTGCTTAAGCAAACTATTTGCATAGTTTTAAGTATTTTTCAACAATTATAAAACATGTTATTTTAACTTATAATAATCACACTTGTTGGCCCGGATGTTAGTGCATGGAAGGTCTTGATGTTGGAAGAAACCAAAGTATCAAGAGAAAACCCATGTTGTTGGGCAGATGACCCGATACCTTTTCATGTCCAATCGGGGAATCAAACCTGGGCCGCCTTGGTGAAAGGCAAGTGTGCATGCGTTATCCACTGTGCCAACCAACCACCCGAGGTTTTAGAACCTGCAGGTTGCGTCAAGACCATGATTTTTTAGAGAAACTTAAACCCTAATCTATAATCCTTCTACAGTAACCCTCAATTTATCTATAACAATAAAGTAACAATACACAAAGGCTTTTCAGGGGCCCTTGAGATAAATAACTGCTATACAGTTACCAAGGTAATTTTTCTTTGTGTTTCTGCTAGCTATAGAAGTCAAACATGCTAGTGCAAGATGTCTAGTGGTCTACCAACTGTGCTAAATGATTCCTCAAATCAAACAACAATCTTAAGTGACCATATGGTTCTTAACTGGGACACTTGTTGGAACTTTGATAATTCATCACCACTTTCATTGCCAGCAAAAGTGGCTAGATTGTGAGGCATAAGGATTACTAGAGATAATCTTGAAAATAATCAATAGAATCTTTCCCTACCTTGAGGTTAGGACAGAGGATTCTCCCCCGTAGAGGATATTCGTGGTTGTCTAATTGTAGGCTACTTCAGTTGAGGGTTAGACAGTCAAGAATCTCCACAAAGGGTGGAGTTATATCTTTCCTAACCTCAGGATTGGTAATGATCCTTTTTCTCACCTATTTTCCTTAAAATCTCTTTTGATCAGAAGAAGAAAACCAATGTGTTAGTTGCATGGTTTTCAAAATCAAATAAATTGCCTTTCGTGATCTGCTATTGTTGACGTGACATCAATGCATGGTTGATGTCATGCCATACAACTGCTTGGGAAATCCTCTTGTCTTTACTTAGAGCGCATCTTTGTCCAATGGTTAGAAAAACAAATCTGAACACAGTGACTCAAAAGTGAAAAACAGGCTTTATGTGACTGGATTAACAAGGCTTGTCTGATCAATGTGAATACCTCTGCATATGTCAAATTCTCATCCACTTCAAATGTGGAGTCTGCACTCAACGACAGCTTGGCGACCTCACTATCAATTCCCACCTTGCCCCACAGGTACTTCTGTACTGCACATTTCAGGGGGAATACTGGAACAAACAAACCTTACATTATTAGTTCTATATAATAAATATGATACTGTTGTAACAGGATTGATGTATAGCCTGTGTAAGCTGAAGTACAATACTCCCGATACACTTGTAGTTTGAATGTCTACCGACTGCTTAGGATTACGCTTCAATGTATTTTTTTTATACAGATGTCCAAATTGTTTATCACATCTGTGTATTGCGATTCAAGAAAATACTTTAACAAGTCATTCGTTTGAACAGATTTGATACTTTCATCTCCACATGCTACTAGCCATGTGTCATCACTCGAGAATTTAGGTTATTTAGAAGAAGTCTTTCAAGGTTTAAACAGTAGTTCAATATATTTTGATCCTGTTGAAATTGAAAGTTGGTCAAGATCATTCATTTAAACAAACTTTATAGCCTTTATCTTCCATCTCAGCATGCTACTCCTTAAATAACATTATCCTAGGCCTTTTGGTTATGCAGAAGAAGTTGATAATATGTTTTTAATAACACTGACTCCTGTGACCTTGAAAGTGGGTTAAGGCCATTTACTTAAACAGAATTGGTAGTTTTTTCATTACACTAGACCTCTTGGTCATAGGAAGTAATTATTTAAATGTCTTACCAAGTGTGAATCATGTGACCTTGAAAGTCAATCAAAGTTAGAAAAGTTGTTTAAAGGTTTTTGCACATTAAAATCATGTGATCTCTAATGTGGGAAAAGGTAATTTATTTGAATAAAATTGGTAGCCTCTCAACTCAGTATGCCACATGCCAAATATCACCCTCACCTCTTGGCTTAAAAGATTTTAACAAAATTTACCTCGTCAGTCCTTGAAAGCGAGTCAAGGTCATTCATTTAAACAAATAGCCCTTCATACCAGCATGATGTATATAAATGGCCAAATATTATCACTTTAAGCCTCTTAGTTATTCAGGAGAATTTTGTCACCATTCCGTAAGCTCATACACACTTCATGCTAAGTGAGCTTATAATAAATATTAAAAAAAATCAGAAACAAAGAGCCAAGTATACAGAGAAAAATTTGGCTAACACTGCACAGAGAGGTTCATTTTATTTCTGTTCCTATTTTTAATACACATTTAAACAAGGTAATCCATAGTCCCCCACCGGTAATGCTTTCTTCATTTTTACCGAGCTGTGCACCTTTCTGAGGATAAAGTTCCCAACGACATATACTTCTTGTACTCGCAACTCCACCAGTCAAGACATCTTGTACACCAAATCTGGTTACTTCAGGTGAAATAGTATGTAGATATGCCCTAGACAAACTTTGGGATGAACACAATTTGGACTGAAGGATGGAACTACAGAAGGATTTATAGAACAAAATGACAGAGGGATGGAGTGCAAACCTATAGTCAGCAACTTTATCGACAGCACTAGATAAATATGTCCAGTAACAGTTTGTTTACATTTGTCCTCTAAGTGAATAGTCATATTTGACTTCATATCCAAATCTGCCTGTATGGGTCAGTATAACTTAGTTATACTCCGTCTGTACTGTACCACAGGGGCCTGAAGTTCTGTCAATAATGAATAATAACACTAATACAAAAAAATACCTATAATATGCTTAAACAATATTTTTTAAGCATATTATAGGTATTTTTTGTGTATTACTGTTATTATTCATTATTGACAGAACTTTTAGGCTCCTGTGACTGTAGCGTTTATGGACTAACTTCACTAAGGCTCGGGGAGCTAGACTGGGCCACCTTCAAGTTCAAGATTTCTCTTGGTTCACATCTTAGTATGCCCTGTTGCATAAGTTTCAACAGCGATGCAATCGAAAAATTATGCATCTTGAAAGAGAAAGGAAAGTGGAGCCCGGGTGGGAATGTCCACATCCCTCACCCCTCCCCCGCCACCCAATTGATCGCCCGTTACGCTTCTTCTTGGTCTTGAGTGTCTGGTGTATGATAAGGTCACATATTTTTCCTATTAAAGCGTTAAATAATTTTAACGCTATTCCCCAATAAATGAAAAAATATTCTGGAAGGTAACCTTTTGGTAGTTGCTCCATATCAGACGGTTCAGTTGTCGGCTGTCTGCTAACAGGATGTTGTGTGTAGAAATTAAACCAAAAGTAAATATCCGGAAATCAATTTTAATTTATATATCATTGAAAATACTGAGATTGTTTGATCAATATATCAATAAGATTTTTTTAGAAATGAACGATTGATTCAAACGAGAGAGAGAAAATACATCAACAAGAATTATTGAAGATGTTTACCTCCGGAAATTTTAATTCCGTCAAAAATCTAAATATTACATTAGTTTCGTATAAATATTAATATTACATTAGTTTCGTATAAATATTTCAATCTGTTGCTGTGGGAATATTATTATTTCTGTTATTACAAGTGTTTCATAAATCTAATGGTATTAGTTTATTATAATATGTTACACTGATTCATAGTACTTCGCAGGCAATTTTCGTACTATTCAGTGGGGTGAAGGTCATCCGCTTGCAGGTGCGTGTGAGAGGTATCGGCGTCCACAATATCATTAGAATTATATGGTAACATTGCTTTGTAAACTTGAAAACTTAACTCTTCAATTTAAATGCATTGTTTTGATTGTCAGACATGTTCAAAACCATGCAATTAGAAGTAATATAGAAATGGGGTGATGTTTACTAAACCGCAATGCCCAGTCAATGGGACTAAAGATGGCGTTGTAATCGGAATTATGACATTATCCACAGATGATAGACACGCAAAGGCAAATAAGCATTGTATAGGCCTAGTTCGGTCATATAAGCGTTTGTGTATCCAGCACACGTGCATTATTCAGCACATTTGTCTGGGTTTTTTTCTCGAATTATTTATCCTTTTTTAACGATTGGTTTTAATCTACTGTAATATTAAGAAGGATTTAGTGAAAGGACATGCGATCGATGGGATCCCAGACTTTCTATTCGGACGCTTTACCCTCCTGCGTAAAGCTAGACGAGAACTTTGACACCAAGCAGTTCTCGAACCACAATTTGTTTCCCAATATGGTTTTACCAAAAAAGTGTTAAATAATTTTGCTTGAATCCTGATCATAATAAATTTTGTTCAGCTATCCAAGACACATTTGTGGTGAGCTGGAAAACAATTCATGCCAAAATAAATTCCACACAAATTAATCAACCACGTTTATTGAAAAGGGAAAGAACACCATTCATTTTGGTATGATTTTTGTGAAATGAATAAAAAATCATTAAAAAGACCCTAAATTGAGAAAGCACTACATTCATGTACAATGAACCAAAAACATTATCTGTGTTAACTTAGGCCATGTATAATGCACATTCATTACTCCAACACCCCTTCCCTTCTTTTTCCAAATTTACGTTCTAAAAGATGACCACAAAAGGGTTCTCCACTACCTTGAACAGTGAGGGTCCACCTGTAGACCAGCTTGTAATAGGAAGGATGTTGTGAAAAGGATACATGCATTTGCTTAGTCTTAAACATGTGATCAAATACTTTCTAGGCTAAAGGGAAATTCCCTCATGTGGAATGCAAAGCTTTTCACAAGAGATTCCAAATTTTAAACATATTTGACCTATATTGACCCTGTAAACCAGTGCCAGTGATCAGCACCATCTCCACCTCAACAGTGGTATCTTGCATCAGTTATATATATCAAGTACCCACATAAGTTGGTCGAGTTTTTAATTTCAAGTAGCCAATGCCTATGCCAGATTTCCTGGAGACCAATATGTGAGATTTACAATAATTTTAAGGCAATTTGGTTAGAAATAAGGGGTTTTATTTGAGACTTTTTTAATTGGCGTAAAAACCTTATTTCATTCCACTCAATTAATGAACATATGTACAAAATTATGACCTTTTTTTAACATTGCTGAGTTTTCCCACATTTTGGCCATGTTAGAAATTGTTTGTTTGGTGAGTAAAAAAATTCTGTCTATATTTTCAGTTATAACCCTCCACCATGGCTATGAAAAGTTATAACAACAACCAGCAAAGTAAGTAAAAGTTGTTAAGATGGCTGTTAATAATCAAACTGAAATACTTGAGACAAGAGTATGTTGATGATAATATCTGGCTGTTCACTTCAGTATTTTTCCTCTGTTCAGACCTGAGCCTGCTATTTTCTTTTTGGGTTCAGCTGGTTGTAACAGTTGAACCAGATCAAGAAAGTGGCCTCAGTTGCTGATGTTACATACAATGTACCACTCTTCCTTGTGTCAATAAACGCTCTTTTGTTCGTTGGTTACCTTACAATATTTATGTTATGGACAATTATAGATTGTTTACCATTATGTCCATCACAACAACATGTATGTACACTAGTACTGCTATAGTTGATGAAGTCAATAGCCATAGGGTCTGTTATGGGATAAACGATCCAATAGTAGTGAACTATTGTGTGTCTGCCCGCCACTGAAGCTCCTTTCTTCTATTACATCGTACATCCACAAATTAGTGAAGTAATTTTTGTACCTGGATCGACCTTAGAGCAATAGTTCTAGTAATCTTTACTACGTGTAGTGTATTTATGGAATAGTTTTCGATTTGGTCAGGTTTTTGGGTAATATAAACTCTAATTGAGCACAAGTAAATTCCTCATATATGGCTTTGCATTGTCATCTTTCCGATTTACTCATGCTCAACTATAGTTATCATCTCATAACCTGACAGTGTTTTTGTTACCTAAATTATACATCAGCCTGTTCCTTAATAAATTGGGAAAATATAGCATTGTTTGTATTGGAATTGGGAATACATTCCTCCCTTGGGTCATTTTGGAAAAAATAAAGCACTTTTTAGCTAGGGGAAACAGCCTGTTTTCGTCAGTAAAACATAGCAAAAAAAACCACTGCCCGAGTCTGACCAAAATACAAAACATTTCCTTTTTTTGTTTCATTAAATCATGACCATTTTTTTGAAAAAAAATCATTAGTCTACTCCGATCAGCAGAATAAAAATTCATTTTCAAAACATACTGACATGTGGTCAGTTCAATCATAGTAACAGCCTGAAATGTGCAGAAGCTTTAATTAATTCCACCCACATGTATTATTGTCGATATCATGGATGCTTTTCACATTCTATATTCAGGTTATGAAATAACTCCAGTTTGCAGGAACAATGGTTATTAAGTGAATGTAAGTGTAGACCGTAAATATTTATATAACTAGGGAATGAGTACATGTTTAATTTGATATTCTTGATCTATAAAAAGTGCCATATTCTTCCTCAGCAATGATTGGTCCCCAAATGCCATCCAATCGTGGGAACATGGATCCAAACACCAACAATGCTCCTCTTAGCTTTAACATGAACAAGGGGAGACCACCCATGGGCATCATGATGGATGGAAGTCGAAATGGTTTGTAAACTAAGCAATGCCTTAACTAAGATAAACACAGAAATGTTGTTATACCGTTAGCCTTTTGGTGTATGTCCTTGGCCAAGTGAAAACAATGTACAAGCACAGTGTTGAGGTACAGATATGAACTGATGTAAATAAATGCAAATTGTTTTAACTATACATATCAAGCTGCAGAATCTGCACCTGTAAAAAGATAATTTGTTACACAACCTCATCACAAATCTGTACAAAATTTCATTATATTTCGTTATATTTAATGTTTTAATTTGTAGACCCTTCTGGTGCGAGCCCATCAGGAGGAATGATGGGGAATTCTGACGGTAGTAACAACAATAACATGATGATGGGAGGCCAGGGATACTATGGCCCTATGATGCAGAACCCCATGATGGGCCCAGATCCCAACATGATGATGATGTTTAACCAGGTATGTTAATATGGTCTATATCCTTCATTGTTTTTGTATAACATTTCGTATATTTTCAATTGATAAACTTACTGATTGCAAATTTTGTTCAATTTCATTAATTATTATTATACTAATTAACATAGATTTGGAATATATGTGTACATTGGAACCAAATTTTGTGAGATACACTTCCCCAAAATGATGACATATATATCCAAATTGAAGTTATTTTTCCTTTTGTATAATCATGTTTAAAGTTCATAACTGAATCGCTACTTTATCCTTCACCATTATAATCTATTTGCCATTTGATCATTTTGAGCTTGTTTAATCTTTTTGTGAAGTAACTCTGAATTTTTATTGCCAGTACGGAGGCTGGGGTCCTATGGGGCCTGGTGGTCCAGGAATGGGGCCAGGTGGTCCTATGATGGGGGGCCCAGGGTCAGAGTTCATGCCAAAGGAGATAATGACACTGAAGTCAAGTGTACTCTACCCTCCCCCTCAAAGTAAGTCTGCATTACTGACACATCTACTACTAAAATACTCGCCTTAAAACGTTTTGCCATGCTAATTGCTATGGTCTGTTTTTGGGAAGAAAGTTCAGATATGTAAATTTAGGATTCTCAAAACATGTGTTATTGCATTCAATGAACAAATTTCATCATCTAGATGTCCATTCTATAACATATACAATACATAAACAGATGGCATATATTGTGTATTAAATAATATGTACATTGTATATTATTTGGATTTATTGTACGTGATGGCAATATGGAAGATTGTTACAAGCTACATACATGACCCACAGAAAGTATAGAATTGGTATTGGTATTATTTGCCTAGTGTTGGAATGTAAATAGTTGGCCTACTTAAAATTTGATTTTTATTCCATGTTGAAAACTTACTCTTTATTCAACAACAATGTTACATTATTCCGATATTTTCGTAATCCTATTGTAGCTATTCTTGACCTTGATATGTACCTACATTGACCTTGATATGTACCTACATTGACCCTGTTACATACCTACACAGCTTGTTTGACCTGAAGTCACTATCTACTTTCACTGTTATCACTTCAACATATTTTTGCCTTCTGACATTTTGGGGAAAAATTCCAAATGATAAATTCCCCCTCACATTATTTGCAAACAAGATGACAATTTTCACTTCTTGTTGTGGAAGATTGAAAGCAAAAGGGTTGGAAATTCACTATTTTCAAAATGTGAAAATAGAATTTCTGATCATATTTACCGGTAGTACATCTACAAACAAGTGCAGAATTTCCAATGATGAGCTTTGCTTAGAATATCACAGACAGTTCTATATATAAGAGGTGGACTCTATAGACTGATTATAATGTATATTTTACCTTTATTTTGAACAGATGCTACACCTCAGACGACCAGAGAACGACCAATGGGGTGCAGAACTATTTTTGTTGGGGGTCTACCAGAGAATGCAACAGAGGAAATGATTGCAGAGATATTTGAGAACTTTGGGAATATTGTCAGTATCCGCAAAGGCAAAAAGAACTTTGCCCATATTCGATACGAGATGGAGGACAGTGTGGAGAGGTCTATGTTCGTGTCAGGTATGATGTGATATTTTGTTACAAAGTTTTGTTATATAATGTAACCAATGGAGTGTTAGACACTGGTCTTGCCTGGCCAAATCTGTCACTCCAAACACAAAATTTACACTAGCAAGGAGAGGTTATAAAATTTATTCATTTTGTTTTTATTTATTCTGAAAAGAATACTCCTGGCAAACACAAAATAAATCCAGGCTGTGTTCCTGGATATGATTAACTATGATGTATCTTAACTCTTCCCTGTTTGACATCATTTCAAGAAAATTTTAAAAACCTATATTCTGAACTAACTTGAAATAATTATTTACACATAGTTCAGTTCTTCATGGATTAATTCATGATTTTAAAACCATATACTTAACCAAGTTAGAGAAAGGGATGCACATGTACAGTTTTGTCTACATGTGGGCATCAATAATACTTGTCTGTTGACTTCTTTGGTATTCCCTACCAACACGGTGTTGGTTGATCGTATTACATAATTCAGTTTGCTTATACAGGATACAAAATGAGTTACATGATCCGATTTCCTAATACAGGATACAGAATGAAGATAGAGGATAAAGATGACAAACCAAACACAGGCCGTGTCCACGTGGACTACGCACAGGCCAGGGACGACCAGTATGAGTTTGAGTGTAAACAACGTGCCGTCATCCGTGAGATGCGTCACTACCAGAGGATTGAGGAGGATAGACTACGACCACCCAGTCCACCACCGGTGATACACTACAGTGATCACGAGTCACTCACACTTCTTGATAAGCTGAAATGTGAGTCTGTAACATTTTAGATTTATCATGAGGGAAAAGTCTTAAAATTAATGCTTTGGTAGTTGAAAATTTCATTTTATCTCAAAAGTAGTTTCGTAAATCTGGTATACAGCAATCTTTGTATAAGTTAAGTAGTTGATTCAAATTAAGAGTAAAATTGATTTTGTTTAGTACAACACCAGAATTCCTTTTTATTAATTACATTTGTAATATCAGTGACAAACTGAAAGGAAAAAACTGGTAAGCATGATCAATGATAATGATATTCAGTAAATCAGATGAAAGCTTTGTCCATTTTCATGCCTTAGAAACAAATGCTTTTTATTAGGTCACCTGAGACAAAGTCTCAAGTGACCTATTGCGATCGCCTTTTGTCCGTCGTCGTCCGTCGTGCGTCCGTAAACAATTTACATTTTCTTGACCCTGGGGTCTCACGTTTCCTCCTGGGGAGGGGGTAAACTTTACTATAGTTTATATAGGGAAATCACATTTTGGACCAACATTTGTTTAATTTCCATTGGAAGTAATTCAATTTGGGTTAGCATTATCAGTATTAGGTAGCAGTTTGATAGTATGCACCTATGAGCCCTGACTGACCCCCAGGGGCTGATGGGTGGGGCCAAAAAGGGTTGAATTGACTGAAATTTCAAAAATCTTCTTCTCAAGACCCAGATATGGTAGAATCAAATACTCTTCATAGATGGAAGGGTCTTAAGGTGCTTTACCGAAATTGTGAATTTCTTGACCCTGGGGTCTC